AAAATTCTCTTCTAATTTGTTCAGGCATACATTTGCCAATAGAGGTGAGAGAGGTGATCCTATAGGAATTCCAAATGTCTGTGCATAAAGGTTGTCATTGAATGTGAAGTAGGTCAGCCGTCAGCGCCTGATGTACATAGATTGTACATAAAAACTTACCAGTAATTCTATTTTCTCCGTTGTTATGTTTTTGATCCTCTGAGAAAATTAATATGAGTGCTTCACTTTGTCTGATAATCTGCCATTTAACTTCTTGAGTTTCAGACATATGAGCATTGCTAATTTATGTGCTGCTCCATACTTGCTGTTAACTATCAGTCTTAGTGGTTCTCCTTCGTTGTGTAACTTCGCTAACCCGTAAGCTGTTGGTGGTCGTGCACCTTTTTTTATTTGTGAATTTATTGTCCATCCATTGATCTTCCTGTTTCTGTGCATATCTTTCAACAAGTTCCGTGGAGTTCCATTTATCTTCATAGTTGGGTCCTTCTTTAGTAGACGATAGGTAGTCCTGTTTTGTAATATACATTCCATTTTCTCTGTATATTGTTTTCTGTCCATTACAACTGTTGCTCCTCCTTTGTCTGTCTGAAGGAGCAATTGTTCATTCTTTTCTAGTGTTCTTCGTATCCTCGCAAATATGTTCTTGTGTATTGGTTCATAATATGTCAAGAGTCTAGAGATTATTTCCATCTCCATTTCCCGTTTTGTCACCCGACAGAACTTGACCTCAACCAGAATGTCCTCTGGAATGTTTCCGCCATTTTGAACAGAAAAGTTTAGTCCTTTCTTCAGGATCGTAGTAGTTTTAGGAACAAGAGAAAGCGAGGATAAATTCGCCAGCTTGTTCCCTTCGTCTTACTGTTCAGTAGACGGCAAGACTCACTGATGATGTCGATTACGATGCCGGCGAAATGTCTGGGAATGTACCAAGTCCACGGTCAGACTCTGAAAATGATCATTCATGCTATGGACTCGGACAAGGTGCGTTCTTTAAGTCTTCATACCAGTATGACCGAGTTGCGAAAACAAGGTTAAATTACTTCTACAAAACGAAAGGAGACCAGGACCATACAAAAGGCCACATCATCTTGGTCTTCATACCTTCCAAGCCTAGATTATGTTGTTAAAAATTGCTCTATCGTTATGGCAATCTCTTTGTTGCCAGGGCAGAAGAAATTCCAGCACGGATGGATCGGATTTAAGGGCGGCCCTCGGAGGACTTTCATGTTCAACCAAAATTAAGAGGTAATCTTCCTTTGGTTTCCGAGAAGGGAAATTCATTAACCCCTTCCAACCAACATTTTATGGAAAAGGAATTGCCGAAGGAGACGAAACTACAAAAGTGTTCTTTTAAATCAGGCTTCTACTCATTTAGATTTGCCAATTATTTCATCGGCTTCGGGGCTATTGGGCATTTTCCGTACTTAAGAGAAATAAAAGCGCCAACCTTCTTGACAATAGTCTATCACATTCTCCAAAATTTGGAATTGGTTTTAGTCGAAATTAGTATTTACGTGATTCCCGGGTTCTCAAGTCTCTGGCTCCGAATCGCCAGCAGGTAAGCTTTATTGTATTTCTGCTGTACCTCAGATTTTCCTCAAAACGCTGATATTGATGTTAGGAGCTCCCGAAACGACTTGTTTCGCCCAGCTGACTAGCCATTTTACCTCTAGACCAGTACAAGTAGTGGCTCTTACTGAAAAGGGAAAGTTACCAACTGCCACATTTGAAGGTTTTATGGTGCTCCGACCCAAAGCGGTCTCGCCTTAATTCCATTTTCCGTTCATTGCAGCCAGCCTTCTGACACCAGAGCTGACGACTTACTGCAATGTTTCCAGACTCTTCGTGTTCCGCCCCAGCCAGTGCCTCAATAGAAAAGATACAGAAAGACATTCAAGCCTTTTTTCTCATTTGGTCGCGGCTAGCTGAAATCAGAGAGTTGCCAAGATCCTATCTTTCCGCATGTTGTTGCAACAGAGGATAGTTAGAAAGCCAGCCAATCCATGACAAAACGTCAGAAGGGGCTCTATCACAGAGCTCGAATAACTGGTGAATAGCTGGCCGGGTTTTTGCCTCCTTTTACCGGAAACAAATATTAAGCTTCATGCCATACCACCGTGCCTCAGCTGAGGCCTCCATAATAGGCCAAGATGGCTCGATTTTTGTCGATGGTACAGGAAAGTCGATCCGCACATATCAGGATAAGAAAGATACTTCATTGATTGGGTCAATTGCCACTAGACTCATTCTCCTCTATCAATCGATAAAGAGAGGAGAATGTCTTGTTCTACCAACTCTTATCGCATACTTTAGTATCCACTTCTAAGCGGGTTCACTCAATCGTCTATCACTCAATAAATCTGTCTATTTAATAACAATCGATTCATTTTCATTCTATCTAATTGTTTCTTCACTCGTCCAAATCCCATCTATACATATTTATTTATTTATATATATATGCATATATATAAAGGAAGAAATTTACAAGTATATGAAGATATACTTTATTTATTTTTACTATATTTCCTACTTTTGTTCAATTTCAAGGACCCAGTATTCTGTTTATCAAGTTACCATTCCGAAGCGTCATAGCTACATTACTTATCTATCAGTCTTATGGCATAGATTTAAGGTATTCTATTTGTAAGTCGATAAACTGGACTATATTATTTTGTATACGTGGCTTTTTTCTCTTTAATTGTTATTACTGCTAGTTCTCGTGTATTCCATTTTCCCACTTCTCTTATTTACCCCGGTATTATCTTTTCCTAGATGATTTTGCGTTGACTACTTTTTCAGCAAACTCTGAGATCATTTCAGCCAATTAAAACTCTTACAAAATACTTGCATCCAAATGGTAATTGATCCATATATTATCGTGTGCCATCGAAATGCTGACAGATCGGAATTATTTGGGGCTAGGTTTGGGGGCACAAGGACTCCAACCTAGACTGGTGAAGGTCATTTCGGTAGAACTCTCAGCCTCGAGTGCTGAGTTCGCATCGAAGATCCCATATCAACTATCGCAGTCTCAATCAGTGCATCTACTTGCCTCGCAGAAAGGGTCCGACCTGCAGTTTTAATCTTGGTTTCTGCACCAGAAAGACATTTTAGTTAGATTTACGTGATTGCGGGCAGGCACATCATTTGTGTCTGGTAAGTGGGACTCGTTGAAACGGTGCTACATTCGCTGATAAAATATGTATCTGCCAAGCCTTTTCCGTAGGAGTTCAAAGATGTTAGAGAATATGGCATCTGAGTTCATGAAAACCTCTGTCTCTTCTCAATTCAATAAGGCCTCCCACTCAACCGAATCTCCTGCCCACGGTCCATTCGCGGCGGACGCGGTGAGAAGACCGACCTCCTTCGTATTCGGCATTGAGGAAAGGATCACCGGCCTTGCTGCGTTGCTCAAAATATTCGAGGTTAGCTCCTCCACACGGCATGCATGCATTCATTCTAGTCATGAACATATGCCTAGCATACCTCAGCTTGGTTTCACACCAGGTGAACGGATGCCTATATTCGCTCTCAGTTGTACATTTTTGTCAAACACAGCTTAAAGAGAATTGTAATCGGTTGAGTTCACCAAAGGTGATTTGAAGTCTGGTAAAATTTTTCATTAATTATTTTACGATAGTCTTGAGACCTAGATACATTGGATATAAGTAAAGTGGTCAAATTAGATAGAAAGTGACTATTA